AACATAACAAAATTGAAAAAAGTGAAGGGGGTCTGAATACTTTCCGAATGCACTGTAGATAATTAAATTCAACATCCTGCTCAGTGTCTGTAATATTAATGTCCTTCTTTTAAAAAGTACCGTTTTTATTTCTATCATGGGGGTTGGAGGAGACTTAGATTCTTTGATAGAATGATTGATGGATGGTAACATAAAAAAGTAAGAACCACTGGCCTAGAGAACTGGAGTGCCTTGATCAAAACTGATAGTATTGAGCTAGATGACATGACAGGCTCAGCATAAATCATTTAATATGTTCCGATGTTAAGATGTATTCAGGGCTTAGGAAATTGTAGGTACTGTGTAAATGTTAAATAATAATTCTATAATATTTGTGTTAATTTGTTTTAATTGATTGCAAAATTTAAAACTCTATGGTCATGTTTTTCTCTTATTCATAGGCAGCTAGACGCTTCCTACCTGTGCCCTGAACTACCATGATATCATGGCAAGATTTCGTAGGAGAACATGCATCATTTTGCTGCTTTTTATTTTATTTATTTGCTCTATAATGATGGCACTGAAAACTCTGAGACCAGAAAGAGCTGGGTTTGGAGATCCATTTGGTCTTGGCCTATTACCTGATTTTCAGCAACAGACAACACATTTAAAAAAGAAGTTCAATTTGCATAATGGAGCAAAAGAAGATAGTTTCACACGGACCAAAAGTGTTCACCCTCTGCCGATGAATCTCAAAACGCCCACAGTTTCTATAAGAAAAATGGAAGACCTACCTCCTCCAAATTATAACTTTCATGTATTTTACTATAGCTGGTATGGGACTCCACAGTTTGATGGAAAATATATTCACTGGAACCATCCATTATTGACACACTGGGATCCCAAAATTGCAAGTGGTTATCCAAAAGGCAAACACAATCCTCCAGAAGATATTGGGTCAAGCTTCTACCCAGAACTTGGACCATATAGCTCTAAAGACTCATCTGTCATAGAAGCTCACATGAAGCAAATGAGGTCAGCTTCCATTGGTAAGTATTCCATCTCTTGTCCCCCACCCCTGCAAAGCTCATGTCTCTGTCCTACATCCCCTTGCTGCCTGTCTACTTGCTTGCTTTCAGCCTCCCCTCACAGCCTTCCAATCTTCACCTCATCTTTCTAGGCTATTTATTCACCTTCTGACCAAGGCTGCAGTTTTTTCATTTCCCTTCCTCATTCTCAGAAAAGGACTCTAAAACAAACTGGTTGCTTACTTGCTTTATGCAGTGATCTGGGCAGTAATGGGCATACCTCAGTATGCCCTTGTAACACCTCTGCTTTGCGAGCTGCATGGGTTGCCAGTTTGCTTCTGGGTGTGATTCAGGGTGCTGGTAGTTACCTATAAAGCCCTACACAGCATAGAGCCTGGTTACTTAAGGTCTGTCTCCCTTAATATCTGCCTGGCTGGTTCAATCTGGCAGGGTTGGTGTGCTCCAGGCTCCTTCAATTAAACAACGCCATCTGTCAGGACCCAGGAAGCACACTTTCTCTATACCAGTCCCTGCCCTCTGGAATGAGGTTTCCCCCAAGATCCTGAGGGCCCCCACCATGCTGGTGTTTTGAAGGGCCTTAAGGTCCTAGCTGTTCACCCAGGCCTTTGGCAGCATAAAATGAAACCCTTTTGCCTCATTCCTGTCCAATGTCTTGTTCTTGCCATTCATTCATTCATTCATTCATTCATTCATTCATTCATTCATTTTACTGTTTATTATTGTATTTCCCTTGTTGAAGTTGTTGTGAGCTGCCCAGAGTTGTTGGGAGTCAGGTGGCATAAAAATTTGGTAAATAACTTGAGGGAAATAATAATACTGGAAAAAGTCTTAGAACCCTAGCTTTGTCTACTTATTGGGGAAAAAAATCTGTACTGGTAGTCCTCCTTTAGCAACAGTAATTGGGACCAGAATTTCCATCGCTAAGCGATGCAGTCATAAAGCGTGACATTTTACCACACCACCTAACAAGAGCAGTTCTGACAGTCCCAGGTTACCATTGTTAAGCAAATCACTGCAGGTTGTAAAATGAGGAGCCCACGTGACCATGACTTCCTGCCGGGTTCCCCATTGACTTTGCTTGTGGGAAGCCAGCAGGGAGGTTGCAAATTGTGACCATAGGATGCTGCAATGGCCAGAACTTTGAGGACCAATTGTAAGTAACACTCATTCAGTGCCGTTGTAAGTTTGAACAGTCGCTGAACAAGTGGTCATTAACCAAGGACCATCTGTTGCTTAAAATAAAATGCAGAAGAAGCAAGATGTTTCCATCTCTTCCAAAACACAGCTGTGTTGTTGTTGCTGTTTTCCATTGTAGATGGGATATGACATCCAAAAAATTCTGCCCTAATGCCCTCTACTGATGAGAAAACTGTACCTTTTTTGAGAGGTGATTTTGCTATTGTAAAATTACATTAAAAAGTTAATTGGCCCTGTCTATTTTTGAAATGTGGCTCTCAATGTGCCATACAAACCTAATGTGGTTTTTGAGCTGATAGAAAATGTGTACCCCAGATCTGTTTGATATGATCATTTAGTAAATTGCATAAGTCCTTTCTTCAGTGACTGAGTAAAAAGTCACTGAGTTTAATAGTATAAAATGTAACTTAATGAATTGGCTTGTAATTTCAGACATGAGCCCTTTTCTTTTTATCTAGCCTTTTCTTTATATGTCAGAACGTATCCTGTCTCATTATTCATGGTTTCTTTTGTCAGTTATATATCTATTAGTAGTAGTCCCTGGCTTAAGAATGTCTGGTTTATAGATGACCCATAGTTAAGAACAGAAAAATTTGTAGCAAAATTTGAGTTAAATAAACAATGGTTTAAGTTAATTACACAATAGTACTTATACAGTATTATACAATACTGTTCCGGCTTACATACAAATTCGACTTAAGACAGACCTTGGGAACTGAACTTGTTCTTAAACTGGGGACTACCTGTAAATCAAATTTATAGGCTGCCCAATTCATAGTGACTCTTAGCCATATACAATATAAAACCAATCTAATACAGTGCAAACAAAAGAAAGCGATAGCCCAGAGATTAACATACCAAACTAAGTGACACACATTTCCTAGCCTAGGGCTAGAGAAAAAGGCAGGTCTTCAAGACCAATTTAAAGGATGGCAAGGTTGGGGCACCTTGAATTTCTGAGGAATACTATTCAAGAAGCCAGACATAACAACAGAGGGGACATGCCACTAGGTCCCATCAGATGACCCTGTTTTAAAATGGGACCTGGAGCATGTTTACTATTTCAGATCTTACAGGTCAAGCAGAGAGGAAGGTAGTCACTCAGATAGTCAGAGTCTACACCTAGAAAGGTCTGTGTGGGTCACAAACAGCAGCCTAAATTGTATCTGGAACTGATGCAGCTCACACAACAGAGATATTAGAACACCCATCACTACCTGCACCTTTGCATTCTGGACCAGCTGTATGTTAGGGCTTTTCTTAATATGGTACAGAGCACAGACACAAAGACTGTATTTGTTTTTCCCACACAAAACTGTTTTATTGTACAAAATTAAATTCCTGTCTTATTCTACTATCTTCCTGTTACTATAAGTTTACAACTGTTTCTATTCTTGTTTAATCTGTAAACTTCTATCTCTATGTTCTATTTGTGTTCCTATTCCTATGTTTGTAGCACTATGTTTTCTTATCTTAACTATTTCTTAGCTCTTTAACTCCTTCCTTTTCCCCCAGGTCTTCAGCTCTTGTAGCCAGTCTCAGTCTATTTGCATGTGAAAACCCTTTTCGCTTCTTTATAGACTTGGGAATGGGCTTTTCTCTCCCCCCTCAGCACTCACTGCCCTGTTTCTGGAGCTGGTTTGTAGAGCTCTGCACCTGGGCTGCTGCACCCAGTGGGCTTGGTTTGGTTTACAGGCTTGCTTGAGTCTGCAGACTCTAGTCGGGCTCTTTTCCTCCCCCATCTCTCTGCTCTGCCTCTAAGCAGTCTTGCAGCTCCAAGAATTGAAGTTTTCTCTTGCTGACTGAAGACTGTGCTAAGGTGCTTGCCTTTGGGTTGGAGGTTTCAAGTCTCTGCTGTCTTCCTGGGGGAACTCCTTTCTTAACATGCCCACTCACATGCTTGTTTTCAGTTCCCTTTTTATAAAACAAACTCTCCAATTAAGAAGAGAATGGGGCTGTTTTAATCCTCCTTCCCAGGTAGCACCAAAATTCTGAATCCCAGGAAGAAAAAATGCCTGCTCACTTCAGGTGATGAGTTCACTCTTCCTTACTGTAGTTTCCAAGTGGTCTTCAAGGGCAGCCTCATATAGTGCACATTGCAGTAGTCCACATGCAAAGTGACTAAGGCATGAGTGACTATGAGAAGGGATTCCCAGTTCAGGAAAGGGTGCAGCTGGTGCACCAGATGAATGTAGGCAAAGGCCTCCCTGGAGACAGCTGCTACCTACTCTTTGAGCAGGAACTGAGTCCAGGAGAACCCTCAGATTGTGAACTAGTTCTGTGTAGGGGAATGCTACCCAATTCCAAACTAAAGATGGAAAGTCCTTGATGCTGGGAACCAGACTTTGATAGCATCCCTTGGTCAGCCTGAGGTTGAAATTTGCAGCTGATATCATCTGCATATTGATGATACCTGACCCCATGTTGACAGATGATTTCACCTAAAGGCTTCATGTAGATGTTAAACAGGAGGGGTGACAGCATTGAGTCCTGTGGCACCCTACATGTCAGCAGCCTAATTGTAATTGTAGTGACTTGTAGGAAGTTTTAAATAAAAACTTCAAAATGTGATTATTAGCTGCTTGAGATGAAAAAAAAAAAAATTCCTGGGGTTCGTGTTCTCTCTCTCTCTCTCTCTCTCTCTCTCTCTCTCTCT